CTTCTTTTCTTTCTTTCTTTCTTTCTTTCTTTCTTTCTTTCTTTCTTCCTTCCTTCCTTCCTTCCTTTCTTTCTTTCTTTCTTTCTTTCTCTCTCTCTTTCTTTTTCTCTTTTCTTTTTTTGCTGTATGCTAAAGAACACATGAAGAAGAGTGTAAGATTTTCTCATGGAAGACTCCTGGCCCTGACTGGATTGTGAATCCCTTCCAAAGCAGAGGCTCTGCATCGTCTTCATGTTTCTGTCTTCAGGCATCCTGCAGAAGACGCTCATCCCACGCAAAAGACACACACCGCATATGTGAAAAATGGGCTGTGACTAGGCTGACTGCTCGTGCCCGAGGCCCAAATGTTCATTTGTATGTCTTATGGAATTTGAGCACAAGAATGCAAATGCTGTCTCCCTGAAGAATCCATTTGGCTGAGGGATTATGCTGGACCTTTCACTTAGATCAAATATATAATTTATATGCCTATATAAAAAGAAGATGAAACCAACAACATATATAAACTCTCCAGGGACCCAAGAGTGTGAAAATAACAGTTTAAAGGAGGATTTCTCTCTGTCTCAAATCTTCTTTTATGTAGCCCAAGCAAATGAGCAAAGAAATCCAAACACACTGACATTTTCAGAGCCAAACATTTTGATTCAATATGTTCTGCTATAAAGTATTTGGTCTTGTTAGAGCTTTTATCACTCTGTGTTCCCAAGTCTATGCTTCATGGTGAGAAAAACAAATAAGATCGTGATGTGCAAAATGTTCTTTTCAAGTGTATGGAGCAAATTTGAGAAAATACATATTAAAGGAATGCCTTGTAATGTCCAGCCCCATTCCCGAGGCCTCCCTCAGTCAGTCTGACTCAATACTTAGTGAACTAAGAACTTCACTGGAGTGAAGGGCCCTCTCAGAGCCACCTAAGAGAAGTAGCTTATTTCATCACGCTCTGAGATGATGTTTCTCTTATGCTCTGTCTTCTTGCGTATGTGCCGTAAAGGTCTAGTTAGAAAGTTTTACAATGGAGGCCTTCAATCCCCCAATCTCTTATTTGCTTGAATTAACTTTTTTAAAAGTGAGGTGTTCACTCTAGTATGAGCTTAATCCAGACACTGTAATCTGCTCACAATCTGTGCCTAACAAAAGCATCTTGACTGCCAGCTTCATTTTTCCATACCACTTTTGTGGTTCTGTGGGGTCATGCATTTTAATTGGTACCTCTCTGTGAACCCCTCTCACTTATTATTTATTTATTTATTATGACTCAGCCTCAACATTTTGGCAGTTAACAGGAGCACAGACTTGCCACGGTGGGTTATTTTTAAGATCCGGAGTGTTCAGGACAGTATGGCCCAGCTGGGTGAGGTGGCACACACCTTAGATTCCAGAACTTAGGAGGTAGACACGAAGATCTCAGAGAGTTGTAGGCTAGCTTGGTCTACAGAGCAAACTCCAGGACAGCCAATGCTTGTCTTGAAAAACCAACCAACCAACCAACCAACCAACCAAACAAACAAACAAACAAACAAAACCACACACACACACACACACACACACACACACACACACACACACACGATAAAAATCCCCAAATTGGAGATGGTACAAGAGACACAGTATTTACCTCAATATTGTTGTATTGCCTAAATGAAAGGAGGCATCCGGCATGCATAGCATAGGGCTTTGCTTGTACCCACCAACAGTTTTATTCAGGTTGGTAGACTAAATTCATTGGGCAGCAGAAAGGATGAGGAATGGCTGCTGCCAATTAGCAGTGTAGGGTTCGTTCGTCAAGCAGCACCACAAGGACAACATGGAGGCATGGGCCTCTGATTCAGTGTGGCCTTGGTTCTTTGAGGCTCTACAGCACAGCTTGGCAGAATGTTTGTTTTCTCCAACCTTCAGGGTCATTTTGTGAAATAAAGATATTTTCAGAGTAAAACACCCCTTCCTTCCTTCCTTCCTTCCTTCCTTCCTTCCTTCCTTCCTTCCTTCCTTCCTTTCTTCCTTCCTTCTTTCCTCCCTTCCCTCTTCCTTCTTTTCAAAAATACTAGAGATTGAACTGAGGAGTTCACACTTGCTATGCAAATGCTCTACCACAAATTCAGCCCAATCTTGCTTTCCTGATAACCACAGAGAGATCAAAGATGCTTTTCTTTTCTTTTTGACTCTGTCTCTCTTCCTTCTAGCATCATACTGTTTTTGTTTGTTGCTTTTTTTTTTTTTTTTTAAACACAACTACTCCGGTAAGAAGCCTTTCGTAGTGTGAGGCAGAGATCAGACGCTACTCTGTAGATTAGTACAACGTGGGGCATGTACCAAGAAGAAGGCTGTTTAGAGCCACCAGGCTTGCAGACCACTGTAGATCCGAGGGGACACGGCTGGTTGTTTGTACCAGAGGGGCCACTCACCGGCTGCCTTTTCAGGGTTGTTACACATGAAGCATTGCCATGTTCCTGCTGCTTCACTGAAGCCAAACACGTCAAAGAACCTCACCTCTTCCAGATGGAGCCGGAGCTGGTCCAGATCCTGCTTCAGGAACACAAAGCACAAAGAAAATAAGCCTGCCTGCCTGCTCCAGAGCATCTGACAGCAGGAAGAGGGGGGATGGTGTTGGAATGGCTGCTGCTCAGTAATGGTGCTGGGATCAAGAGAGCACTGAAATGTACTTGTCTTGGCCAGCCTTGGGAAAGAGTACTTAGCTCGGACTCTTTACTGTATAGTGAGGGAACACAGCTTCGGGGGCCCTAGGGTTGGAGTGCAGGGAGAGAAGTCAGAACCTGTAGTGGCCCAGAATTTTCCTGCATTTGAAGCTGCCCCCAAATTTCTCTAAAGAAAGGATATCCGTGTTGGACTGTGGTTGAAGGAAATGCTGATGGAGAAATGGCTTTATAGTTAAGTAGCACATAAAATTGAGAACTAATTATTAGTCTCCAAATATTGCTTTCATAAGGTTGGCTTTTTAGAGAGTAATGGAAAATACAAGGATGGGCTCATTTGCCCTCAACTCCAGTTCTGTTTAGCCTTAGTAATTATTAAATGTAGAGGTATTATTTTCTATTCCACAATACAGCTCTGTTGGTTTGAGTGAGAAATCATCTCTGAAATCATTTGTCAGTAAATTCATCATTTTTCTTTGAGTAGTTGAGTGGAATTTGTCACACTAAGATGGCTCAAAAGGAGGCCTGTGGCATGATTCAAGCATGCTCTTTAGGAGGCAGAGCAGACAGAGGTAAGTAGATGGAAAATTATTAGCCTAACTAAATGAAATTTCTCTACTACCTTCCCCCCAGTCTTTTCTGTTACATAAATAATCTATATCCTGTGTTATCAGGCAGCAGGACACTGCACTCTTAAGATCTTGATCCTCCTAAGAAGGACTTGCCTTCTTGTTAGCCTAATACACACCTTTTCAACCTACTTTGTGTGTAAGCACTGGTGTAGAGTGAGTTCACTTTTCTGCCTTTAGTCCTGTATTTTCATCTTTCCTACTTATAGCCTTTAGTACTCAGAAAGGCCAGGTAAGGTTTGTGGTGTTTGCATGGCTTCAGATGGACCTGAGAATAGAATGGGCAATGGGTTACCTGATCTCACCCCAAAACTACCTCTTCTCCATTTGTTGACACAGATGAGAAGCATACTAGACTCTGAGCAATTTGAGAACAGAACTCCATCTTCTTTGATAGCAGCTGCATTCCAGTATCAAGTATAGCACTGGGAATGGAGCAGCATCATTGGTTTGTAGGCAGAGTACAAATCCCATTTGCCAGAGAGTTATATGAAAGGCATAACGGCCATTGAAGATTCTTTTTAGAGAGCAGTCATGCTCACCAGAAGATAAACACAATGAGGACAGGGATTCTGTTTGTTCAGTAGGATGTTTGGAACCTCAGCCTCTGACAGTGCTTGTTAAACACTCAGCAAACAAAACATTTTAATGAAAAACACAGATCAGGCCTTTTAGCATCTTTATTAAAACAACTGTGCTTTACAATCTGGGATTGGATGTTTTGCAAGCTTAACTTGCTGAATATAGTATTTTTGGAATGCTAACATCAGAAATATTTCAATAGGCCCTGCATATGTGGTTCAGAAACTCTCTCTCTCTCTCACACACACACACACACACACATTCATACATGAATGAATGTTGTTTTAACAAAATGATTTAGAATGTGTTCATTAGAAAAAAGAGATTTTTTTTTTAAGACTATTCCCCAAGATAAAGACTAAAGAAGCACCTGGGAGCTTTGTAGGTTTCAAAGGATGAAATCCATATTAAAATTTATGGGTAGAAAGCAGATGTTCATAAATATCTGTTTCAAAACTGCAAGGTCTCTGAAGTCTGTCCTGGCCATCGGCATGCAGCTCAGTCTTTGTTTTTCACACGATTAAAGATCAATTCTTCATTCCCCACAAACACTACTAGCAAACAAGGACTTAAATAACACAATGGGCTTCCTTTATTTTTCCTGTTCTGGGACCAGGAATGTCCCAGGTTGTCGCCTATACTCCACACTTGCCTTGGCAAAAAGTTACTCGAAAAGTTTAAGACAGATGGTGAGCTACTTCCCAGCGCTGGAGTTCTGAAGCCAAGAGCAGACTCAGCCCTTCAGAGGATTTAGGTGTTATGCAAAGGGAGAGGATGATGGAGGGTAGTTACAGGAACTATTGAAGTTGGCGGCAACAGCCAATTTTTAATAGACAGATGAAGCACACATAATTTCAAATATCTGTGGAATATCAAAGTAAGTGAGTCACAAAACAAGCCAGAACAGACTACCAGTGACATGTTTAGGGGATGCTTAGGGTCACTATTTGTTTTTTTCCCCACTTATATTTACCCTTATGAGTCCTCAGTTTTTCCCAAGAACTGATATATGGCCACCTCTTCTTCTCCTCTCCTCCTCCTTTCCTTTTCTTTAAAACAAGAGAATTGATTTAGAAAATGACAAACTTCCATTCATATATCTAGACTATAGAAGAATGATAAAATAGTTCATATCTAATTCTCCATTATGCTCTGGGTATTTTGGTTCAAATGGGATTGTGGCGGGGGTGGAGGTGGTTTCAGATGATATACCAATAATCTTCATCTCTTAGTGTTCATCTGCTTGTGTAATCATATATGCATGAGTACTGGAGGCTCCTATGTCATTTTAGACAATGGCAAAGATGATGAAATATCAGTGTCATAACACACACACACACACACACACACACACACACACACACACACACACTACATACATAAGACCCATCTTGCTAACACACACCAAACAAAGGAAGGCTTTCCTCCTGTCCTTGAAGAAACAAACTTGGGGAAAGTATGAGTGGTTTCCAGTAGCTAGCAAAAGATCAAGAACTTGGCTTGTACAACAACAAATGAATGTTTGTTTGTTTGTTTGCCAACCACCCTGTCTTTTGGCTCTTCTCAGAATGAAGGATGATCCATCCTGCTTAGAACAGTCAGTCTCACAGTACTCTACAAATCAGGTCTCAGTAAAACCTGTGGGAAAATGAAGCTCAAATTGTTTATGTGGCCTTGGGAAGAGTTACATAATAACAGCAGTAAACAAGTTCTGAGAAGGGTTTTTCCAGCAAGTGCCACTTCATGAAAACAGTTAAAAAGTCACTAGAGGGAAAATGGTCTTGTAAAACAGTGTTTAGATAAGTTAGCCTCCAATTTTAGAAAAGAGTCATTAATGAGATTAAGAACCTGAAAACCATAAAGAAGTCTATTGTAAACTCACCTAGGGGAAAATTCCTGGAACACATGGTGGCAAGAGATAACCATCCCTTCAGGCTGCCCTCCAACTGTGTACACATGAGTGCAAGCCTCACCCTCCTCTAGGGGAGAAATAACTGTAACACTTGTTTTTAAAGTGTGCAGTGGGCTCGGGAGCTCACGTCATGCATGGTCTATGTTCCGAGAGACGGGACTGTGGAAAAGTTTTCTAGAGATCAGCCAGAGCATACATCTGGAAGAGCTTTGGCTCCTGGCATGTTTAAGGTCTGTTCTAAAGCTCTCTGTGGAGAGAGAGAAAACATGGGTGTGACTCATGTGCTGTGTGTGCTTCTGGTTAGCAGGATTTCCAGCATCAAAGCTCAAGTATCTTATAAAAATAGAAACGAAAAAATGTCAAGAAGTCCCCAATACCCTTGCACATTAGCAAGAACTTCATGCCTTCCTAGTTGTTTATAGAGTGCACAGCCATAGTTATTGCAGTCCCAGGTGAAATGAATTTACTGAGCAAATATGATCAATAATTCATCTTTGTGTTGGTGTTCATTGGAAAGGCACAATGCAAGAAACACTATGTTAAACGTAAAAATTAGCAAAAGAAATATTAAAGAATGTCCATCCTACTACTTAATCATTTGTTCTTTTAGCTACTGAAAAATGCTGCTGTTGAGCTCAATTAATAGTACGGAGGGGTAGAGCAGCTCGTGGGCTGGAGACCGTGGGTGAAGGGATGAAAGTGGTGTAGTTCTGCACTCCCAGGAAGGGGGATGGGACACCGGAAGAGGCTTTCCTTGTGTGTATGCTGTAGACATTGTTGACTGCCTTACTCTGTGACTGTTGACCCTCCACTAAATGAAAGCCTCTTCCCACATAGACTGACTTTTAAGCTATTCTGTCATTTTTGAAAATACAATGAATAGTGCTTTGCCTGCAGTATATCTCAATGACTTGTTATTTTATTAACTGAGGTGTGTAGATCTTATTTCTAACTTATATCAATGATAACATTTGGGCTTTCTATTTCTATGTTTATCTGAGTATGTTCATTAAAGATTTGGAGAGTAACTTCTCTTTTCTGTTTTTCAAGAAATTGGTCTTGTTATGTTCCCCAGGCTAGCCTCAAACTCTTGTGCTCCAGAAAATTTGCCTTAACCTCTCTATCTGGGATGATAGGTGCAGGCTACCCTAGTTATCTAGAGAACGTTTCTTAGAACCTTGGCTCTGGGAGCAGAGGATATAGCTCACTGGGAGAGTATTTGGCTAGCATGTGCAATGCCTTGAGCTTGAACCCCAACAATGCAAATAAAATACAATGCAAATACAATGCAATGCAATACAATACAGTACAATACAATACACCCACATCTCTATGAGTATTGTAGGAACCCATTTTATTTAACAAGTATTTAGAATAAAATCAGTAAGTGAAAAAGGGTAGGAGTCTGAATTCATCAGTGTGGCATGCTGATTATTTCTAAGATGTCAGCTTCCTTAAGTTATCAGTTCTCAGTCATATTCAACACCAGGAATTCTGGGAGACCTGTTATAAGCATTATATGTAGCTCTCATCTTCGACACTTCTCAACAAGCTTTCCAAGACATTCTGATGTACACTGCCTGAAAAACTCTATACCTTTGGGAACAGATGTGGTGATAGCAGACTTGTGTCTATTAATTGGTATTTGAGGAATTTGTCAATTTCCTGCAGCATCTGCTCGTACTTTCCCACAGTGTTTGGTTTCATGTGACAAAGTATGTAGTCTCTTTGAAAAAGCACAGTTTC